TAGGTTACCGTGGTGCATTCAGTTGCATCATAGCAGAAAACATGTGATTTTATTAAATTAAAAAAAAAAAAAAATTAAAAAAAAATAAATCAATTAAATACGTGTTGAGAGCGAAGTTTTATTAGGTAAGAACCTATTTAATCCATCTTTGTCTGCGCAGATTCCTTGAACATTACATCATCATTGGAAGAGCTGTTGAAGGTCAAGTAAACACCGGTATTGCTTTAACGGAACAGAAATCAGTAGGTGAACATGGAAAGTAGAATTTTATGAACACTTAGGAGGAGTCTGTCGACTAATTTCTATTCTGGAAAGGAATCTAATTTCTCGATTCCTTAACCATTGTATCATCATTTGAAGTGCCATTCAATATGAGGTAAACGTATATAGCTTTAACGGTATAGAATGAGGAAATGGAAAGTAACATTTTATGAATACTTCATAGGAGTGCGTTGACTGAATTTCTGTTCTGGAAAGGAGTCTAAATTAACTAACTTAAAGACTGCGTTATTTGAAAATTTCGGATTGTTACGAGACCTGGCAGTTTTGAAAAAGTTCCAAGGTCAACTATGGACTTACACCGTAAGATGTTCGTCTGTCAACAGAGAGGTCAGGGGTCGCTTTGATACCTAGTGGGGGGAACAACAACAACAGCTAAACACAATGGGTTTCCAGCATTTCAACCCACTTCGTGTCAACGTGTCCTGCTGGCGGTGGCTGATCTTCCTGCTGCCGTGGTTGATGTGTTCGACGGCAGGAATAGCAGTGAATGTGAAACAGCGGGACTTGATGGACGCAAGCGTAGATACCGATGGGATACTGCAGGCTCGAACAGTGGCGCCATCACAACAGCAGCAGGCGATTGAGGGCGCTAACTTCCACGGTGAGTTTTGATGAATGTTTAGTAACCTAGATTTTATGGTTTCTTCATTCTCCCCACAACCCCCCCCCCCCCACTTTTTTAAAAAGAATAGCAACGTAACTACCTCCCCGCCCCCTCTTGTCAATCAAATTCATTTCCTTGGAGTCAATTGAAAAAAAACAACAACATTTAAAAAAAAAAAATACTCTAATTGAAATGATAGTGA